TCAATTCAGTCGTCGACAAAGGAGAAAAGGTGAAGGACACACTGCGGTAAGCAATATATTTAATTTGTACAACATTAATATATGTATAAGTAACTTTGTAATTTTTCTTAGAAATAAACCAAGTTTGCAAACCTATAACTTGCGTTAAATTCGCTAGCGAGTCGACGACAAATCTTTATTTCGCAGTGAAATATTAATTTAACTATGAAATCGCCGTTCTAAATACGACATTCTAACATTTTTGGAGATTTTCGCAATCATCGCCTGCGCAACAAGCATCGTATACATTTTTCGTTTTGCATTCGTATGTATGTACATACGTACATACAATTGCAATAGCCGCTCCAGTTGGAAATATTTGTATGTGTGACTGTAAAGCCTTTTCTTACATTTTGCCATCCCAGACGGAAATTTTCAGCATTAAATCAATTACGTCCCGGGAGTAAATTAACCGTTTACGACTTTGAAAGTATTTTTGGTTTGCCGTTTCGAATAAAATTGCCATACCACTGCGGTACTATTTAATTGTATTTTTTCACGTTGATGGTTTAAGTTTCCCGCCGACATCCACCAGTAGACAACGATATGTTTCCACGTTCACCACCTTCGAAAAGCAAGACATCTGTGCCGATCTCCGAAGCATCCAAGACTACATCGGGTACCAATGCTGTTGCCAACATTGATTTTCCGGTCGCTCCCATTGCCGAAGGAGTTACCACCCGTGCTTCGTCAGCCGCCGTCGCACGCCAGGAAGCGATGTTTCAGGAAATGCAGGCGCGTATCGCCATGCTTGAAAGCAACCTGAAGGTCGCCCAACACAAACTAAAGGAGCACGAATCTGCCAGTCGCGCCCAAAACAAAGAGGCGCCAAGCATAGCCAGTGTACCCAGCGACAGACCAGCCGACGGAGCAGCCTGTCCGTCAACAAGTCTACCAACGTCACATCCACCGTTTTTGGAGTTGCAACCGCCGATAGTCACCAGCGCCGCTATTAATGTAAGTACTGTACCATTGCCGTCAATAAACGCTACTCGTTATTCGCCGTATACCGCTATTCGTTACTCGCCACTTCTGTATACATCTGCCGCAGCTGTTTCAACTGTTGGAACAGCAACGAACAACATGTACACCAGCTCAGTCTTGCCTCCTCATGACCCAGCTTTTAACAATTTTTCGTCAGCGGCACCCATTCCTGCCAACATGGGTTCCATACAGCCACAGATGTCATGTCAGCCGAGAAAATTGCAAGATTTGCCGGAGTTT